AACACTTCAGTCTCATGTGAGTGAACTCTAGCCCACTAGCTGCCGGCTAGAGTCCACTCACCACTAGGACCACCAGGGATTGCAGCAAGGTCCCCCCTCCATGGGTAAAGGTAAGAAAGGAGGAGGGCCATAAAGTACATATTTTTTTCATTTTAAAAAATATATATGTATTGCTTAATCTGCCCCCCTCCCATACACAATACCTCCCAACACGCACACTGCATCCCACATACTGCACTCCTCGCACACGCACTACATCCCACACACGGTACCCAGCACACACATACTGCACACCTCACACATTATATAGGGGGCTACATCCCCTATACACTCTCACTCTCAATGGCACCTAGCCACACACAAAACAGCACAACTGAAACCTACCTATTTACACAAAACACCACATTACAATCAGCTCACTCTACACACACAATCCCACAAGCAGGCTGCAAACACATGACCAATATGCTTCCTTGGCCCTTTTGTCCTCTGGTATCTCACTTATGGAATACCAGAGACAAGTCACAAGCAAACATGTTAAAAAATTTGCTTGTGCTTTGCAGAACACATAAAGGGCCTTTTTCTCATGCGAGAGCTCTTCAGCAGAGCTATGCGCATTAAACCAACATGTTCACATTGGGAGGGGGCATGTTTGTCATTGGTGACGAAAAATACCCCTCTCTCTGCCCCCTTCTCAGTGGGCTGCTGTGATGCAAAAATGCCTGGAACACATTTTTATCCCAGTCCAGCCTTGAATATAGGAGTTTTTCATAACCTTCCTTCTCAGAAATCAGGATGCAGCCATTGATAGCTTCTTTTTTCTGCCCTGCCCTGGTAGTGTAACCACAGTTCTTTCAAGTTTCAACTTGTAAACTATGCTTCCAGTGGTGTCTCTGGGAACATTCAGTGCCTTTTGCTATATTTTTGTATCCTGTTTCTTGTTTGTGAAGGTCAATGATGTCTTCTTTTACCTTAGTTGCCCATTATTATTATGTTATTATTTATATAGTGCCAACAAATTCTGCAGCACTTTACATTTTTCTAACATGCATTTAAATGTGACACTCAACAAACCCCTAGCCAGTTCAGTTATTTCAAGTGTTCCAGCTCAAGCACAACTGGTGCAATTAATGAAGCCGTTGATTCGTTGCATAAGGTGTTTTGCATATTTGTGATGTCGTGAGGGATTCTAAGCCCAGATGTCAGAGCGTTGTGATGGGTAACCACTGCAATGCTCCAAAGTAGCTCAATGCTGGGGCTCACAAGAGAGGGAGAATCTCTGGGCCCCACCTTCACTATTCAAGCCAGCAATGTGGGAGCCTGCAGAATGCCACTGGACCACCAGAGAATGTAGTGTCCCCCTCCCTTGCCACAAGTAAGAGGCAAGGAAGGGGGAAGAAACATGTTATAAAATCTTAATTCCCACAAAACACAAACCCTATATATATATATTTTTTTTCTCTCTCTCTCTCTCTCTCTCTCTCTCTCTCTCTCTCTCTCCCCTTGTGGGTGCACTCAGGGGCCCAGGCTGTACAAGAGCTGTACAAGAAGCCCTAACATTTCTGATGGCAGCCCTGTTTGTAAACATTACTATATTTATAAATAATCCAAGATCACTATTTGTTACTTTTCTATTTTGAGAGAAATGTTAAAGGGATTCTATAGCACCAGAAAACCAAAGCCGTTTTTCTGGCACTATAGAATCATATCCTACAGTGCCCCCCTCATTCCTCTATCCAACCGCTGGGCTGAAAAGGTTAAAACCCCTTCAGTCACTTACCTGAATTCAGTGCCACTGTCTCTCGGTGCTGGGTCGGGTAATGCCCACACTCCTCCCCTGTGGACATCAGCCAGCAGGGTGACCTAATGCGCATGCACGGCAATGGCTGTGCTCGCATCAGGATTTCCCCAAAGGAAAGCATTATTCAGAAAAATCTGACGCTGGAGGTCCTCATGCAGAGCGTTAGGATGTCCAGCGTCAGATAACAGACCAAAGGTCGGTTTCAAATTAGGAAGTCCCTCTAGTGGCTGGAGTTAACACTGGATAGTAATTATTGCAGTTTATCAATAACTGCAATAATTGCTATTGCAGGGTTAAGGGACATGAGCTGAAGTGGTCTGGGTGCCTACAGTGTCCCATTAACCCCTTAGTATCTTTGGGACATTTCATGCATCCTAGAAATTATATGTGAATGGAATGTGCAGCAGTTTTTGCGCAAGTAGGGTTAACTTCTCAGTTTGCAATGGGAATAGGCAGCTATGCAAGGAGCTCATTGGTCAATTTCTGGCCATTATATATGGTCATGATATCTAGCAGACAGAAGCAAGCCCCAGTGTTGATTAATATAATTAACACCGCTGGACATCATGACCATATATAGTGGACAGAGATTGACCAATGAGCTCCTTGCAAAGCTTAAATTGAACACTGCACACAGTTCTTCAAATCACTGTAGCTGAATGATCCTGTTCTGCCATCGTGGTTCTCTGCAAGAGGGTAAAACTCGGGGTCTGAATAAACCACATTTTGATTTCCCTGCATGCCGTTTCGCTGCAGGGGATGTAACAAGAATCATTTGTAAAAGTGCCAATTTCTATAGAAATCTGCACTTTTTGAAACAATGAAACAAAATAAGACACACTACATATAAAGCAGCTCAACAAGCAAAAGTGCTTTAATTGTTTGAAATGTTCCTTTAATATTCTATTTAATGTTCTACTGACTCCTAGTGTGTGCTATAATTATTGCAGTACACAAGGAGAATACAATTTTTTAACCATTTCAAATGACATAGAAAAATTATTAAACTGAGAATTGTCAGAATTCAAAGTGAATGTCAAATTTAAGGACAAATGACTAAATAAATGAACTGGAAAATTCTCCAGGTCAGCTATGCTTACAATTTAGCTACTTTGCTGTTACATTTGAAATTCACTTTGAATTCCAATAGTTCTCACTTTAGTAAATAACCCTTAACAGACAAGGAGAGATTTTTTTTTAGTTTAGGTATTACAGACCTTAATTCCCATGTGATTTCAACACAATTCACAGCTTAGAGAAAGAGTGTGTCAATGGAGCTATGCCTTTGGATTTAATTATACAACTCCCTACTGTATTGTCTCTAAAACAAATCGTTGTGGAGCCAACTCGTAAAGAGGCCATACTAGATTTAGTGTTAACAAATGGAGATTTGGCATCAGATATTACTGTAGGTGAAAGTTTAGGATCCAGTGATCATCAGTCAGTGTGGTTTAATATAAGAACAGTGACTGAGTCACACCACACAAAAACAAAAGATTTAGACTTTAGAAGAACAGTCTTTTCTAAAATTAGAATATGTGTAAAGGAGTCATTATCAGACTGGAGCAATTTAAATGGAGTCCAAGAGAAATGGGATTATTTAAAAGTTGCACTACTGAAAGCAATAAAAAATTGCATTAGGCTTGTCAGTAAAAACACAAAATTCAAGAAACCACTGTGGTACTCCACAGATGTGGCCAAAATAGTACAAAACAAAAAGTTAGTATTTAGTAATTATAAAAAAAAAAAAAAAAACAGAGTGAGGAAGACAGAATGATCTATAAGATTAGGCAGAAAGAGGCTACGCAAGTTATAAGAGCTTCCAAATCACACACACAAGAGAAAATAGCACAGTCAGTAAAAAAGGGGGACAAAACTTTTTAGATACATAAATGAGAAAATAAAAGTAAAACAAGGATTAGTTAGATTAAAAACAAAAGAAGGAAGATATGTAGAAGAGATTAAAGTTCTATCTGACTGCCTCAATGAATATTTTTGTTCGGTATTTACAGATGAAAATGAAGGAAAGGGACCTCAGTTGAGAAAAAGGATAAATGAGTCATTTATTACACGTGAGTTTACAGAGGAAGAGGTTCTATTTCAACTGTCAAATGTAAAGACAAATAAGTCAATGGGACCTGATGGAATACACCCAAAGCTGTTAAAAGAGCTTAGTGGTGTACTAGCAAAACCATTAACAGATTTATTTAACCAATCATTGTTAACAGGAGTAGTCCCAGAAGATTGGAAGTTGTGCCCATTTACAAGAAAGGTAATAGGGAGGAGTCGGGGAACTATATGCCAGTAAGCCTTACTTCAGTAGTGGGGAAAGTGATGGAAACCATGTTAAAGGATAGGATTGCTGAACATCTAAAAACACATGGATTTCAAGATCAGAGACAACATGGGTTTACTTCAGGGAGATCATGCCAAACTAATCTTATTAATTTTTTTGATTGGGTAACTAAAATTATAGATCAGGGTGGTGCAGTAGACATTGCTTACCTAGATTTCAGTAAGGCTTTTGACACTGTTGCACAGAGAAGGTTTATGAATAAACTGCAATCTTTAAGTTTGGATTCCAATATTGTTGAATGGGTAAGGCAGTGGCTGAGTGACAGGCACCAGAGGGTTGTAGTCAAGGGAGTATATTCGAAGCTTGGGCTTATCACCAGTGGGGCACCTCAGGGATCTGTACTTGGACCCATTCTCTTTAATATTTTTATTAGTGATATTGCAGAAGGTCTTTATGGTAAGGTATGTATTTTTGCTGATGATACTAAGATATGTAATAGGGTTGATGTTCCAGGAGGGATAAGCCAAATTGCAAATGATTTAGGTAAACTAGAAAAATTGTTGTGGCAACTGACATTTAATGTGGATAAGTGCAAGATAATGCATCTTGGACGTAAAAACCCAAGGGCAGAGTACAGAATATTTGATAGAGTCCTAATCTCAACATCTGAGGAAAGGGATTTAGGGGTGATTATTTCTGACTTAAAGGTAGGCAGACAATGTAATAGAGCAGCAGGAAATGCTAACATAATGCTTGGTTGTATAGGGAGAGGTATTAGCAGTAGAAAGAGGGAAGTGCTCATGCCTTTGTACAGAACACTGGTGAGACCTCACTTGGAGTATTGTACGCAGTACTGGAGACTGTATCTTCAGAAGGATATTGATACCTTAGAGTTCAGAGAAGGGATACTAAACTGGTTCATGGATTGCAAGATAAAACTTACCAGGAAAGGTTAAAGGATCTTGACATGTATAGCTTGGAGGAAAGACAAGACAGGGGGGGGATATGATAGAAACATTTAAATACATAAAGGGAATCAACACAGTATATTTAAAAGAAGAAAAACTACCACAACAAGAGGACATAGTCTTAAATTAGAGGGACAAAGGTATAAAATAATATCAGGAAGTATTACTTTAGTGAGAGGGTAGTGGATGCATGGAATAGCCTTCCAGCTGACGTGGCAGAGGTTAACACAGTAAAGGAGTTTAAGCATGCGTGGGATAGGCATAAGGCTATCCTTATTATAAGATAAGGCCAGGGACTAATGAAAGTATTTAGAAAATTGGGCAGACTAGATGGGCCAAATGGTTCTTATCTGCCGTCATGTTTCTATGTTAACAAATATTTTGAATGCATGTAGAGGAAAATGAAAATTCTGTAAAATCACAGTGAGAACACGCAAGCGTCCATAGGAAAGCGTGCGCATTCAGCCGAAAGGGAGGAGAGGAGGAGGGTCGGAGGCGGAGTGCTCCCCGCCCGGCGTTGGAGAAGGGTAAGTTTTAACCCCTTTCCCCTCCCCAGAGCCCGGCGGGAGGGGGACCCTGAGGGTGGGGGCACCTTCAGGGCACTATAGTGCCAGGAAAAAGAGTATGTTTTCCTGGCACTATAGTGGTCCTTTAAAGGACCACTCTAGGCACCCAGACCACTTCAGCTTAATGAAGTGGTCTGGGTGCCAGGTCCTTCTAGGGTTAACCCATTTTTCATAATTATAGCAGTTTCAGAGAAACTGCTATAATTATGAATGGGTTAAGCCTTCCCCCTAATCCTCTAGTGGCTGTCTCATTGACAGCCACTAGAGGCGCTTGCGTGCTTCTCACTGTGATTTTCACAGTGAGAGCACGCCAGCGTCCATAGGAAAGCAGTGTAAATGCTTTCCTA